CAGTTCCTCTCTGCCCTCGCCCACTGTCCCTCAGTTTACCCCCAGGCGCCCGTAGCTCCCTCCCCTTCCTGGCCCCCTCTGGACGCCAGCCCCTCAGGAAGCCACTGCCCAGCCCCCTCCCGAGGCTGGGTCTCCTCCGGCTCCGCCGTCCCCGACTTCCTACCGTGGTGGCCTTGGTCCCACGGGACAAAGGGGCCTGTTTATGTGTCCTTCTATCTCCCAGCCCAGCCTGGGCTGATGAAGGGAGGACTCCATTTCTAACCCAGCTGAGGCCCCATGATGCCCAGCCAAGCTCCGGGCACCCAGGATCGCAGCCATGACAGATGGTGAGAGGTGGACACTACATGGATGGGGGTGAGGCAGAGCCTAGGAGCCGGAGCAGAGGGGACTCAGAAGCCAGGGAGGGAGCGGGCACACAGCGGAGCCGGCAGAATGGCCAGCCATGCCCGCCTGGCAGCGAGACCATGGCCAGACCCCAGAGGCTTAGGCTGGGGCCCCAGAGCTGCAGACGCCTGGGGATCCCGCCCAGTACCACCTGCCAAGACCCTGCCCAGGGCTGCCCGGAAGGACATTGGATGTGGGGCTGCCCACCCAGAGGTCCCAGCCTGGCCCGGAAAGGACACCTGCGTCTGGCCAGGAGGACGTCCAGCCTGCTTCCCTGCCCTGGCCCTCTGCCTGCAGGCGGAGGGGGAGGACTCCCATCTGCAGCTGCCCCGTCCCATCCTCTGCCTCCTCGCAAGGCCACAGGGGTTCCCTTGGTGGCCACAGGATTCCAGCTGGGCGCAGGAGGTGGCCCCGGCCAGGCAGCCCCCTGCCCCAACCTCCATGCGTCCCAAGGTGAGGCGGGGTCACGCGGGCCCAGGGCAGGCAGCGGGTGCCAGGACCCTGCTCGTGCCTTCTGCAGGCCGCTGCCCACGTCCAGGGCCCCTCCTGGGCCTCTGTGGGTGCACCTCCGGCTCCTGGTCACAGGACTCTCGGGTTCTGTCCCGGGAGGCCCTGGCTAGCAGCTGTCCGTCCCTGGTGCTTCGAGGTCAAGGACTGGGGAAGAGCAGGCCCGTCCCAGGGTCAGGAGGCGGCTTTGACCAGCCAGGAAAGCGCCCACAGCAGGCGAGCCCTGGCTGGGGGTGGTGGGGGAACTGAGCACCCTGCGCCCAGGCTCAGGGCCTCCTGGACAGCACTGCCCTCTGCTCAGAGGACCCCACACCTTCCTGTTTGAGCTTGCAGGGGTTCCACGTGCACTTCCCTCTCACCCCCCTCCTGCCTGCCTCCCTCTTGGCCCACAGACCAGAGCCTCACCCACCTGGACACCAGTACTTCCTCCCTTCACCTGGGAGAGAATCGCCTACACCCTCCCTTCTGATCCCTCTCCAGTTCACCCAAAAGTCTAACCCAGGTCTTGCCTGCTGCTTCTTAACCCTGTCTTTCCTGTTTTCTCCTTAGTGGAGGTAGAACTGCTTGTCGACTCCTCTCCTTTCACACTCATCTGTGTGGCCTTGAACAAGGTTCTGGGGCCTCAGTTTCCCCACAGGAGAGGAGGCATATGAGGTGGGTAAAAGGAAGACCCAGAGAGCCTGGGTTCAAATCCTGGCTCTGTCTCTCACAGCTGCCGTGGACAGCTCCCTAGTTCTCTGCTCCCCCGTCTATAAGGGCAACCAGCGCTGACCAACGCGGAAGGGAGTGGTGGAGTGTGGACGGCGCAGACCCCCTGCCACCTGGCACAGGGGCTGGCTCAGCGCTCCGTGGGACTGGTCCTTTCAGAGGACTCCGCCTGCGGGGGCAGGAAGCCACAGAAATGGGGCCCTGCCCACGGCAAGAGACGGGGGCTGGGGCCGAGGGGCCAGCGTGTGGGAGAGACCAGTCCACGGGGGAGGGGCCACTGCCCAGGCTGGAGGCGGCCGGAGCCAGGCAGGGGTCGTGGGCCCCAGGAAGCTGGGCATTGAGGCCCCTGGGCAGGACCCCTGGAGGATGTGCAGGGCAGCCCTGGGAGGCCGGGGCCGGCTTGAACCGCAGCCAAGAGATCAGAGCAGCCGGGCACCGGGGCCGGGCTCCTCCGAGTCTTTCCTCATTCCTGGGCCTGTGGGAGTCGCCGGACCCCGGCCTTCCCCGCCGCCACCGGGACTTGCTCTGCGTCTCGTGGGGAACCAGGGCCCCCTGCCAGACGGCCCAGCCCAGCTGGGCCACACCTGCCGGCACCTGAGGCTGCCGACCACCGAGTCCCGGCCCCGGGCCCTCGTGCCTCAAATGGGGAGACTGAGCCCCCACATGGGGAGGGTGGCCCAAGGCCCTCCACATGCCCAGGGTCCAGGGCTGGCTTCAGGTCCGGGGCTCTCCCGTCTCTCCTGGGAGGTGTCCCCTGCGGAAAGCCCACCTGGGGGCCACCACAGAGGCCCGTCTCGGGGCCAGCTTCTGCGGGTGCCCTACTGGGCACCGTGGGGACGGGCTGTTTGATCAGTGGTTCCGCCCGATGCCAGGCTGCCGGGGACCGCGGGCAGTGGCCAAACCGGCCCCGCCGCATGCCTCCGGCCCTGGGCAGGAATGCCATTCCAGGCCGGCAGTGCCGGGTTACCACAGCCTGGCCTCTGGGGAGAGGCAGGGAGGCCTGTGGGCAGCCAGGCCGCTGAGCCGGGGACCTCAGCTGTCCTCCCAGGCCTGCTGGGAGCTCGGAGGGCCCTGGAGCACTTGAGCCCTGACCCACCGGGCACAGCTGGACAGGCCCACAGCCCACCGAGCCCGGACCCTGCTTCAGATCAAAGGGACAGCAGCAGGGATGAGGCCACTGCCCTGTCCCCTGAGAACAGTGCCGACCTGAGTCAGCCTGAGCCTGGACTGTCATCCCCAGAGGCTCAGGGTCTGTGTCCAGCCCACCGTGGCCCTGGGAGGCCAGAGTCCCAGCCGGGGCCTGGGCAGGGGCCTGGGGTGCGTGGACAGGAGGCGGGAGCCTCTCGGTCCACAGAGGGGACAAGGGAGGAAGAAGGATGAGGACGACCTTGGGGAGCTGGCACGTGGTCCCCCACCCGGCAGGAGCTGTAGGGCGCCACACAGGGACCCCAAAGACACTCACTCTTCTGATTCCAGCTTTTATTGGGGCCAAGTGGTCCCCTTTGGGGGAGGCCAGCAGTGTAGCCCACCAGGAGTGGGGTGCTTCGAGGACATGCAAAGCCTGGCCACCACTGCCCCTGCGCACGGCATGAGGGTGGCCAGGGTCCCCACCTGGGCCACAGTGGCCCCCTCCCTCCCCCAAGGGAAGGGTCTGTTGCAGACAGACTATGGGGGTGGGGCTCAGTGGGGTGCCTGGTGGCCCAGGGACAGTGCAGTGCCTCGGTGGCATGAGAGGCCCCGAGGGTCCATTTCAAGCAGAAGGAGGAGCCTGGCTCAGGGGACAGTGGCCGCAGCCACCCCCTCACCTCCAGTACCCAGTGTAGGTCACAATAACTTAAAAGACACTATAAACATTTGGACGCTATATAACAATATAAGTTAACCAGGTCCGGTGGCCGAGGACGCAGGGCCCGTGCACACGTGGTGTCCAGGATCGGGACGAGGGGCAGGCCGCGGGGCAGGGCGCTCACAGCAGCCCAGAGGCTCAGAGCGTCCTGGTGTTTTGGGGGCGAACGTGCTGCACGCAGAGCCAGGGCCCAGCCAGGGCACTAGCCCCAGGCAAACGTCCAGGCCACTTGGCTCGTTGGTGGCCCCAGAACAAGTCTCCCAGGGCTTCTGCTCAGAGAACAGCCCAAATGGGCAGCAGACAACGGGCAGTGACCAGAGCCAGGCAAGCCGTCTCTCTGACCTTGGCCAGTCCCTCTCTCTACGCTGGTAACTCGGGGAGGGGGATGGGGGTGGGGGGACCCCAGAAGGGACACGCCAGCCCTGAGCCTGCAGCTCCATCCTCGGGCAGCCTCGCAGCCCGTCTCCGGGTTTCAGGGAGCTGAGCTGGCCTTCGGGAGGGCCGGGGAGCAGGAGTCCTCCAGGACAGCAGGCAGGGCAGCCTGTGCACTTCCCAAGTCCTGGGACCGGGGCTGAGGAAACGGGGCCAGGTAGGGGTAGAGCGGTCACAGCGGCTGGCAGCCCCAAGCCCTGGATGCCAGCGTGTAGCCAGGGTGAGGCAGCAGGCCGGGGCTCAGGGAAGCCCCAGGGCCCCAGGAGGGGGTGCGGGGACACCCAGGTCTCTCCAGGCAGCTCCTCATGCCACCCTGCATATTGCCAGAGGAGGCTGGTGGGAGCTTAGGCAGGAGAGTGATCAGGTACAGAGGGTGTGGCCAGTCCGTGGGCCACTCTGGGCCTCAGTATCCCCATCCGTCAAGGAGGCAAACACCTGGCCAGAATCTGCCATGCCCACGTCTTCCACCAGCCCCTGCTGACTCAGGGGTCCAGTGGCTCAGGTGGGAGGGCTCTGAGCTTGGGAGGTGACAGGTTAGGGTCTGACTGGCAGGTGAGGGTGCGGGGGGCTGTGGCAATCCTGGGGCCAGTGTGGTGACATTTTGATTTGCTGGACATGGTTTCCAGGACAGGAGGGACGCTCTCCTGAGGCCCTCTTCTAGACCCCCCGAGCCCCTGCCCAGCTCTACCCTGGGACCCACATGCCTCCTGCCAGCCGCTGGCACCTGTGGCCTGCGGGGACAGAAGGCCTGACGGCCAGGGGCTGGAAGAGGGCAGAGGGGCACTGGGGGCCATGTGCTGTGGAGTGAGGACGGCTCCCGCTGGCTGGGGCTGAGACCCTCTTCTGATGCCAAGAAAACATAAATAACCTCGTCAATGCCTGTGCCCGCTGCCCGCCCTGGGGGCATGGCCAGGGAACCGTTTTGAGCGTCACCGGCCAGTGTGGCCTCTCGGTGTTTGGCTACCCGGCAGGCAGGCCACCTCAGAGTCTCATTGTCACTCTGTCCTGAGATCCACGTGTGTCCTCGAGGTTCGCTTTCCCCAGGAAGAGAGAGGGCCTCGCTGGCTCCCGGGGCCCAGGAGCCCGGCTGGCGCTGCCCGGCTGGCGCTGCCCGGCGGGCAGGGTGGGGGCCTCACTTGCAGGTGAAGACCTCGCTGCGCTCGCTGCAGGTGCTGCACTTGACGAAGCAGCACCAGTGGAACTTGCAGTTGCACTGCCACACCTTGGTGTACTGGTGCGTGTTGTAGCCGCGCCCACAGCACATGGTGTCGCAGCCGTCGGCGCCCAGCGAGGTGCGGTTGCACAGGCGGCCCTGCGTGCCCACGCTGCCCGTGGCCGCGTCCTCTTCGCAGTAGTTGGGTGACTTCTCGATGTACACCAGGTCTGTCTCCATGGGCTTCTGGTAGCTCCGCAGCTGTTTGATGCGCAGGAAGGTGGGCTGCCGCAGGCGGCTGGCCCGCACCACCTCCACCTGCACGGCCGCGTTGTACTTCTCCTTGAGCAGGTGCCCCACCTCGCGGAACTTGGGCAGTGTGGTCCAGCAGGTCTTGGTGGTGCACGAGCCCGACACCCCGTGGCACTTACACTCCAGCTTCATGCGGTCCTCCAGGACCTGCGGGCAACACAGCAGCTGCTCAGCGAGGCGTGGCCAGGGTCCCCACCCCGCCCATCACCCCTTCCCCACCTCCAGCCTGACCCTGCAGCCAGCTCCTCCACTTCCTGCTGTGGGCCCATGGGCAAGTGTCTCCACCTCTCTGACCCTCAGTCTCCTCATCCACTAAACAGGCTGCTTAGAATATTCCCAATGCCCAAGACATTGCAAGCGACCTGAGAATCTTTGGGGCAGCAGAGCCTGGTGTCCCTTCGTCAGATGTGTTTTGTTCAATTCTCTGGGCCACCTTCAGGGCTCTGAGGACACCGAGGCTTGGGAGCTGTGGTACTTGCCAGACAGCAGGTGCAGGGCCCCAGCAGCTGAAGGTGCTTAATGTGGTCCCTCCACCTGTCCATCTGTGCCTGCCCTCGTGCCTGCTGTAGGGCACTGCATACAGTCAATGCTGTTTAATGGGAGCCTGGCATGCCCATGGGGCTCAGTACAGGGCGGGGCAGGGAAGCCGCTGCCCCCGCCCGGCTGGTGGCTGTTCTTTCTTCCTGGCTCCACCGGGGCCCTTGGCGGGCGCAGCCCATGTTTTCCTTGGGCCTCCCTCCGCGGCCCCGGAAGGCCGATTCCCAGAGCCAGCCCTGACCCCAGCTACTCATTTACTCGGATCGAAAGGGCCCTGCCAGCAGGCCTGATTAAAGATGGGGAATCATTAGCCGCCCCGCGGCTGCAGAAGGGCCATCTGTCAGCTGTCAGGTCTGCGGGCCTCCGTCGGCAGCAGGGCACCAGGGCTTGGCCACCCTGCCCCAGGCTGGGACCCACCGTGGTGGGGCTCCTGCTGCTGGCCCAGCTCTGCCCCAACAAGAAGCCTCAGCAAAGGAAGGAGCGAATGTGCGAGTAAGTGAGAGAAAGAGCGAGGGTCAGAGAAAGTGTCCTCGAGATGGCCCTGCCCAGGCACCATCCCCGGGCCTGGCGTGTGAGCTCTGGACCTCGGGGTGACCTGGGGGCTGGCACCCGGTGTGGGAGACAGACGTGCCACCTGAAGGGACCCAGGGCCCTCGAGAACCTGACCCTGTGCGGGTGATGGTGCTTAGGAGGACTTCCTGGAGGAGGTGACCTCGCAGTGGGTGCTGATGGAGGAGGAGAGACAGCTCCTTAGACAAAGAGGAGGCGTTCCAGGAGGGCTCAAGATGAGCGGGGGGCTGGAGAGGGGCTGGCCGTGAGCAGGAGGGAGAGATGGGCTGGTCACTGCTCAGGTGGGAGTGGGGTGGGCCCTGGGCCAGTGGCCTAGAGTTCTGGGCATTCTCTGCTCTGAGTGAGCCATGTCCTGGGTGGAGGCTGGGTGGTCTCAGGAGGGAGTCGGGGAGGCTGACGTCCCACCAGGAACGGGCTGAGGGAGGAAGGGCCCAGGGTCCCATGGAGGGAGAGATCAGGCTTAGGGGACATCTGCAGTGGAATTGGGACAAGGACAAGGGGTGTCTGGGTGGAGGGTGTGGTCAGAGGGCTGTGGGGAGGTGGCCTGGGGAAAGGCACTCTCGGGGCCTCCTCCTGCAGCCCGTCACCAGGGGCAGCTTCCTCTGCCCCCTCCCCTCCTCCCCATTAGCCTCCTGCAAACCTGGAAGCCCTGTCTGACCTAGCCAATGGCCACCCCCTCAGGCCAGGCACTCCCCAGAGCTGACAGACAGGCACCTCTCAGAGTTCCCAGCCAGGTGCAGCCTGCCCCACCCCATCTGCTGACCCTCCTGCGATGGCCAAGTTGTGGAGGTGTCCAGGCTGGGGGCTGTGCGGGCCAGGCGGTCAACCCCTGGCTGCCATCTGGTGTCCCACTGTGGCTGCTGGACAGCTGTCTCCCTGCCCAGCTCTGCTGCCTGCTTCTGAACTTGCTCCCTCCTCCCCTGGCGAGCCCCTCGCTCCTGTCCGCACCAAAGCCCCCAGCCAGGCTGTACCCTCCTGACACCAGGGGACATCCAGACAGCCCCGCTGGGGACAGCAGCAGGTGAAGCCAACTGGGCAGGTCTTGCAGAATGAGGAGCCGAGTCTTTGCTTGGCAGGTCCTGGGGCCAGAGCCTCTCTGGACTTCAGAAGTACCATTTCCTTCTACTCCTCGGGGTCAGAGCGGCAGCTGGGACCTCAAGGCCCCGAGACCAGCCCTGCACCCAGGAGACCCCCTGGCATGCACAGGGAGCTGGCCCTGCACCCAGGAGACCCCCTGGCATGCACAGGGAGCCGGCCCTGCACCCAGGAGACCACCTGGCATGCACAGGGAGCTGGCCCTGCCCGGGCAGCCGAGCCACCCATCCAGCCCCTCTCCCCCGGCCTGGCACCTCCACTGTGGAGTGGGGTCCAGAATCAGGGTGCAGCCATGCTGGGGGGCAGGGCTCCATCTCCAACAGACTAGGGGAGCCCTGAGGTTGGAAACCAAAGTCCTTCAGGGACAGGCCAGCAGGCCAGGGAGTCTGGTGTCTGGACACTGCAGGGCCGGGCTCTGGTGCCACAGAGGTGCATCACCTCCATCCAGGAACCGCCATAGTCCTCTCACACCCTTCACTGCCTGACCTCTCCCTGAGCACTCTCTGACCACAGCATGGACCGAGAACAGGAGGCCCCGCTGGCCTGAGGGGCAATGGCCCTGCATGTCACTCCTCGGTGGCCCTCAGGCATCCATCTGTACAATGGGAGCCACACGCCCCTCCCCGCAGCAGGGTCCCGGACACTCCATCACACAAAGGCTGCACCCAGACTGTCCTGCCAACGAGGTCCCAGCCCCCAGCTCCCAGGGCTGGTCTCTCTGGTAGCGTCCAGCCTCATCTGGCCACCTAGAGGAGGCCCCACCAGCCCAGGTGGACCTGCACTTGCCTTCGCTGTGGAGAGTGGGGAGATCCACCTCCCACCCGCCCAGGTGCCACCCCACCTGCCCCACTGCCCTGCCCCAGGCGACCCCAGGGAACACACACCTGCTGACTTTAGGGGACAGTCTGGGGGCTCCTTCTGCCCGGGCACTGTGGACCGCTCCTTGAGGGCCACCACAGCCTGGGAGGGGCCTGAGGGAGGGCAGCCAGGGCCGAGCTGGGGGAAGCCCCCGTGAGGGTCTCCAGCTTAGCCCGTCTGCCTCAGGCCCACCGGATGGCGGCCTGACCCATGCAGCCTGGGGTGAAGGGCAGAGTGGCCGGTGGATGGGCCCCCACCGATTCACTTCCACTGGAGCCTCAGATGGTGACCTTGCTGGAAACCGAGGCTTGGTGGGTGTAACTAAGGCAAGGATGGAGCTGTCCCCTGGAACGGGACCCGGAATCCAGGGAGAGTGTACTTGTGCAGGATGAAGGAAGCCTGTCCAGAGAGGCCCCGGAGGCAGGCCAAGACCAGAGCCATGCGGCCCAGGAGCCCAGCAACCCGCAGCAGAGGACGAGGCAAGAAGGTGCCTCCCAGAGCCTCTGGAGGGAGCAGAGCCCTGCCCACACTGATCCAGACTCTGATTCACCAGGAGAGCGCGGCCTGCTGCTACAGCCGCCCAGCCGCTGGTATCTGCAGCAATCCCTTGGTCCTGCTGGACCTGCTCAGCAACTGGTCCTGGGCCATGCCGGCAAGGCAGGCCCGGGTGACCTGGGAGGGGGGCCGGGGCTCCCGGAAGGTCTGCACTCAGCTCTTGGGGGAGTGTGGGGGGAGCCCACCATGGTAAGCACCGCACTGCTGGGAGGACGAAGGACCCCAGCCCTCAAGAGCCACCCTGGAGCCACGGCTCCGGTCCCGTGAGTGCGAGACAGCTCCCAAGACGGGTCACTGAGGGCTGCAGAGGAGACCCCTTTGCAGAGGGGGAAATGGAGCCTCAGCCGAAAGGCTGTGTTGGCCAGGCCCTGGGTTCTGTCCCCCTGTTTGGACTGGGGCTGCAGCTCTGGGGTGGCGGGCCTGTTTGATCCCCGACAGTGAGATAAACACACGGAGGCCTGAAAACTTGGGCTGGGATGTGGCTGGGTGGACAGCGCTGCCCGGCATGCCTGGGGCTGGGTCCTCAGCACTGCGGAGAAGAAGGGGACAGGCCAATGACCTTTTAGAGCCCTCCCCCGTGGCCGCCCTGTCCCTGAGCCTCACTTGCTCGTGGCCGCCCTGTCCCTGACCAAGCCCACAGTCTGTTCCCATCTCAGCACACAGCTTCTCCCTGGTCGAACCCTGCCACACTGTGCCCTCCTCCCTCCTTGTCCCCTGGCCAGGCAGCTTGGTGCCAAGACTTAACCAGTCTCCCTCCCCACACCCGTGGGCCCACCGGCCTCCTTGGCCTCTCCCCTCCTGCGTCTCCGGGAGGCCAGTCCTGCCTGTCACCTCAGCCCTGAGCCTTTGCAGCCCCTGTAAGCTGCCCACACCCGGAGCTCCAGGCCAGCCGGGCCCTCCTGGTAGTCCACCCTGAGCACATGTGACCTTGGCCCTGGCACCTGCCCTAGCACCTGGCTATGGTCTGGGGTCAAGGCCCAGCCTGGCCATCAGGGTCCTCCACCAGGCAGCCCACACAGGCTGCCCGGCTCCTCGCAGCCCCAGCCCATCACCCGTGAGTGGAGGCCGGGCCTCGGGCTGTGCAGACCCTCTGCCTCGGCACCCTCCCCAGCTCTGCTGCTTACAGTGCCCAGAGCTCAGGCTGCACGGGCCACATGGCCAGCTCTGCTGCTTGCTCCAGGCCTTACTGTTCTCATCTGTGAAATGGGGGACAGTGGGAGAAAGCCCCGGCGTAGAAGCTAAGGTGCTGCAGAACACAGGGCAGGAGTTCCAGCGACCGCGTCTTCCCTCCAGGGAGCCTCAGCAGGCCCCCACCCTCCTCCTCCCATTCCATCTGCCTGAGGCTCCTGGAGGCCAGGCTGGGTCCCTCAGTCCTCCTCACCTGTCCATCCACGCACCCAGGTGACGACGGCCCCCCCCACCTAGCCGCCCAGCCCAGCCTGCTCAAGGCCCTCTGGAGTTTGAGCCCAGCACACTGGGCCCTCCTGCCCCCCAGCCTGAGCCTTTGCAGCCCTCACAAGTGCGGCTCAGGCACGCCCATCAAGGTGACCGCACTCCCCCAGCCCTGCCCTGAGCCCCTCACCGCCCCTGGGTGAGGGCAGCCTGGCCCCCGGATCCCCCTGCCCGGCGTGGGAAGGGGCCGGTGGCCTCAGCCAGGGTCCCTGAGGCAGGGGTTCTTGCCAGGCCTCTCCTCTTGCCTGACCAGGCCCCAGAAGCCCCTCAGGCCCTGTGGCCGCTGCAGCCCCTGGGGCCGGGAAGCCAGACCCGGCAGGGTGTTCCGCCCCGCTGCCACCCTATCTCGGGCCATCTCGCCGCCGGCCGCCACCGCGGCAGCTGCTCCTCCCAGGCCGTATCTGGGGCCCTCATCTCGCCGTGGCAGCGGCTCGCCCTGCCTTCTCCCCCAGTGCATCTCAGTCTCCTGCACCATCTCCCCCCCAGCGCCCACGCCCGAGGCTGGCCTCCTCCAGCCTCCTCCAGCCCCCACAGCCTCTGCCTGTCCTGGGGCTGGACCCTTCTGCGCCCACGGCTCCTCCAGGAAGCCCTGACTGGCCTGCGGTGGCCTCTGGGACCAGGAGCACCAGGGCAGGGACACGGGGCTGCGGCCTGGGCCTCCACGACCCTCAGGTCCCCGCGGGGTCAGTCAGGCTTGTGTGGAAGCAGGGTCTGGTCCCCGCCACGGGCCGGCCCTCCCGCCCCTCGGGCCCTGTCCTCCTGCCCCTCCGGCCGGCGGCCACCCACCTTCCTGCCCGCCTCGTTGTTGTGCAGGTTCATGAGGCGCCGCGCGTTCTTCTTGATCTCACGGGCGTCCACGAAGCGCCGGGAGAAGTCGATGCCGTAGCGCACGTCCGCGGAGCAGCCGCCCCACTTCCAGCCCTCGGCCTGGTTGTAGTAGCCCTGCTTCTCGCGGTCGCAGCCGCAGTTGCTCAGGTTGCCCTGGCTGCAGGCGGCAGTGACCGCGTGGGCCACGCCAGCTGCGGTGATGGCGTAGGTGAAGGCGGCCTCGCGGCTCCCTGTGGGAAGACACAGGCGTGGACAGTGAGGCCCCGGCTCTGTCAGGTGGCCCAGGAGAGTTGGACCTGGGGCCCCTGCTGTGCGACCCTGGGCTCATCACCTGCCTTCTCTGAGCTTCCACCTCACCAAAGTGGGGCCGACAGGACCTGCCTTGCAGGGTTGTGCTGAGGGCAGTACATGGCATACAGCAGGCACTCACTCTACGCTGTGACCTTGACCGTGGTGCGTAACACCATCATCGACCCCTGTCCCTGTTCTCAAGAGGTCCGCCTGGAGTGGGCAGTGGGAACAGGCAGGCTCCAGCCCTGTGGGCCTCTGGCCACTGCTCCTCCTGGACGGTCCCTGGGGACCACGTGTGCATGGAAGATGGCATCGGGGTCTTGCCTCCCGTGGGAGCCCCACCCCGGCCAGGAACCCACGCAGTCTTTGTGCCCGCCTCCGGCTCTGTGACCACCCAACTTCCACCCTGGCTGTCCGTGACCCCCTGACCCCCCTGCCTGGCTCAGAGTCCCTGGGCGCTGGGAGCTGGGCACTGTCTTGCCTGCCTCACCCCCAGCCACCAGCTGGGCCCTTCCAAGGCCACCTGGGCAAGGCCCCCCTTGGCACCTTCGCCGTCCCCCTGCCGGCAGAGCCAAGCTCCCTCCCCCGCTGGCCAGCACCTGGCTGCTCCCCGGGACTCTGTCCCCATCCTCGGCCTGGACACGACTCAGTCCTTTGGGTGCTGCTCACACCACCGCGCGGCCTCTCTGGCCTTCCAGTGCATTCCCTCCCCCTCACACCCATTCTGGGGGCCTCCCTGGGCCTGTCCCAGTGCCGCCGCCTCCAGGCAGCCTTCCCAGACCCCCAGCCAGAGGGAGCCCCGCTGCCTGGCCCCTCGGCTGATGCGCCCCCTTCACCTGGTTAGGGCTATGTGGGCACTTCCTGGCCCTTCAGGTGGACAGACCCAGCTCTAATCTCTTCTCTTCCACAGCCCCAGGCCCGGTGCCCTTCCATCCTGGCCCTGGGTTACCTCCATGTCTCAGCACCTGGTGACGTGTGGCAGCAAGCTGACCACAAGTGCCCTCGGAGAGCCCAGAGTGGAACAGGAATCTCACCGCCATCTTGGCAGCACCAGGAGGCCCGGGGCAGGTGGAGACCACCAGAAACTCAGGGCAGGGTGGAGGCACAGGCACAGGCACCCAGCACCACCGCACCAGCGTCCCCTGCTGCTGGGGCCCAGGTGAAGCCCACAGACCGGGTGAGGTCAGGAGTCAGGGCCAGGCACTGAACAGCCCTTGAGAGCTGACCACATGGCTGGCTTCATGCCAGGGCTGACTGCCCACCTCCTGATGCCCCACAAAAGGGGACCCGCTGGGGCCGCTCTTCCCCGGGGTGTCTGCTGTCCTGGTGAGGACTAGGGAGGGCCAGGGACTCGGCTGGGAAGACCTGAGGGGTGACGCCCCTCCCCTCAAGGCCCAAGTCCTCTGGGCCCTGCCTGCCGGGCCTCGCCCCCAGCCAGCCTCCTCCCGTGGGCTTCCCACCTGGCACTGCCGCCCGCCAGGCCAGACCCCAGGCTCAGCCACTGCAGGTCCCCAGACCGTGGGGTTCTGATGTCCCTGACCTGGTGGCTGCTCCAGGGCGGCCGTCTCAGCACAGCTGAGCTCCAACCTTGCTTTTCAAGGAGCCAGGAGGAGCCCTGGGGTCCTGTGCTGCCAGAGGCTGGCTGGGGGTCCAAGATGGACAGGGTCAAGGAAATACAGGAATGCATATCCCTGCGTCTCACTTAGGCAGATGTCTGGAGGAAGCCCCAGCGTGGAAGGGCATTAGACCCCTCCTCTGAGGAGCTCCCGCCCCTGAAAAGCCTCCCAGGGAGCCCTGGAGCTCGGCCGGGGCAGGGGGAGCCACCATCAAGGGGGTCCCAGGGAGCCTTCTGGGAGGGCACAGGATTCCCTGTGGGTGGAGTCCAGGAGGGCTCCCTGGAGGAACCAACATTTTGAAAAAGTCAACAAAATGACCATGCTCTCTCGTGAGAGCACGCACGCTGTGTGAGCTGGGGTCGGTAGCACGTGCATGTGGGGTGTGTGTGGCGTGCACGTGTGGTGTGCATGTGGCTTGCACGTGTGGCGTGTGTGTGGCATGCGTGTGGCGTGCGTGTGTGACGTGCACGTGTGGCGTGCGTGCTGCAGGTGTGTGCTGTGGGAGGGGTGTGTGTGCACGGGCGTGCTGTGCTGTGCTATGTGTGGCAGGCAAACTCCTGGTGGCCTGGCAGGGGCACAGGTGCCAAGGTGAGGAAGTCAGGGGAGGTCAGAGGTCAGCAGGGCCAGTGCGGTGGCCAGAGGTCTGGGGAGCTGGACACTTTGTGCCTGGGGACCTGGCTGCGGCCGAGGGCGCTCGGGCTGCACTGCGAGGGGATGCGGACTCTCTAGAGGCTCCTGCGGAGCTGGGCCCCCGCTGTCCCGTGCCAGCCCTGCCAGCCCCTCCCCTGCATTCTCCTGTGAGCCTCACGATGTCCCGGGCCTTGCCACTTCACAGGGGAGGGGACTGAGGCAGAGGGGACACCTGGCCTGAGGGGTGGAGCAGGACTGGAACCCGGGCCGTGACTCAAAGCCCAGAAAGCCTGCCGAGGAGCTGAGGGCCTGGGGTGCCGGCCACTGAAGCATTCTGTCCCCAGCCTGGCCCGCTGTAGCCACGTGACCCTCGGGCAGATGGAGAGGGGAGCTGGGGGTGATCTGGGCCTGGGGGTGCAGGGGGCTGGCCGGCAGGTGAGCTGGGGGACGCTGGGGGCCAAGCCGGCCTCCTGTCTCGAAGCCACACACAACGGAGGGGGCTCCTCGAGAGAACCACGCTGCGTCAGAGGCCCTGTGGGACCCAGGGGCGTCCCCTCTGCAGCCCAAGCAGCTCGGTGGCCTCTGCCCTCCTGCCCAGCAGAGGGGCGGCTGCCAGGCAGAGGTTGGTTTCCTGTCCCAGGCCCCAGGCAGACGGCGCCCAGGCCGGCCGCGCTGGAGGCCCGTGCCCTCTGCGGCTCTGCCTCACCTGCGGTGCCCACGGGGGCTCACGGTTACTCACCGGTTACTCATCCCGCCGCCACACCCGCTAATTCCTTTTTTATTTGGTTTTAATGAGCCAAGCCCTCCTGTCCCTCGCCATGGAGACGGGAGGGGGAGGGGATCGGAGTTTGGGAGAATCAACATTGCCTTGGGCCTGGCCAGAGACGAGGCCACGTCGGTTCCAAGCGCCTGCTCTCGGTCCGTCCACCTCTCACTCCAGGGAGGGCTGTTGTCCCATTTTTCAGGCCTGCGTGCTGGCCCAGGGGGCGTCCACCCCAGGCCAGAGCGCGCTGGGCGTGAAGGGGAGGGCGGAACAGCCCCAGGCGCCCCGGCTCCCTTCCAGAGGCGCTCCCCAGCCCTGGCGGGTCACCTTGCTCTGACACACTGCAGGACAATTTAGAACCAGCCCCCGGGGCAGCTGCAGACCCTGGGCCCTGTGGCCCTGGCTCGACCACCTGGCTCCCAAGGCCTCAGAGATGACTTCTGGTGTCCTGGCCTGGAACCCAGAGCACACGGCCCCCAGCAGCCTGGTGGCCAAGGAGAGCTGGCCCCGCTGTGGAGGTGAGCACACCCTCAGCACAGTGACAGGGACTGCCAGCCTCTCACCTCCTGCCTTGGGAGCAGGGCCACTCTGGAGAGTCCCCATCCCCACACCCCAGGCTAGATACAGCCTGACTGCACCCTGCCCTGGATGTCACCTGTCCCCTCAGGCTGCAGGGGCCGTGGACAGGATCCATGACGGATTCTCTGGTGCACCCCCACCCAATGCTGTGTCCCACTTCCTTCACAGGAGTGTGGGGGACTGGGCACCTTCCCTGCATCACCCCGTCCCCACAGTAACCCCAGGAAACAGCAGCTGAGCCTCCAAGACAGATGGGGCCCCAGGGCTGCTCCAGGGGCGGCTGGTGCCGGGGGCCTATGGGGGCCAGCCGCTGTCCTGAGCGACCTTGGGTCCCAGAGCCTAGGAGTCCCTCTCAGGACCCACAGCCCACCCGATGCAGGCTGCATCCTCAGGCCCGGAGGCCAGTGGCCGTGCCCAGCAGTAGCCCTGGAGGCTGGCAGGCTGGCCACCCTGAAGACCCTGCCAACCTGTGCAGCCCGCTGACCCTGGGCACCCGGGCAGGTTAGGGAGAGCACCCACACTCCAAGGTCCCAGGCTTGAAGTTCAGGGACGCAGAGAGGGACCTGCCGAAAGACTCTGGGTACAGAGGATGCAGAGCACGGAGCTGGAGCCTCAGCCTGGCTGTGTGTCCCCGGGGAAGCTGCGAGCCTCTCGGGCCTGTGTCCCCGCTCGCTTGGGAGGCTGGCAAGCCCCACCAGGAGCAAACAGGACAAGCACACCGCCCCGTGCCGCGACGGCGGGTAGGCCAGGACTGGCCAGGCCCACATGTGGTGAAGGACAGGCCCAGGCATCTCCGTGCTTGGCCAGGCCGGGCCGGGAAAGCCTCCTCCTGGCCCTGCCCCGCCAGCCGGGCCCGGCAGAGCCTGGGGCGGCCGCTGTGTCGGGGACCCAGGCCCGGGCAGAGGTCACCCAGGGACCGTCCAGCTCAGCTCTTCTCTTCAGGTCATGAAGACTAAGCCCTCGTGGGGGTCCTGGGCAGCACAGGGCAGGCTCAGAGGGAGGCAGACGCAGCCCCACCGTGGGGCTCTGCCGTGGCAGCCCGACCCCGGCACCAGGGCAAGGGGCCTGCCTGGGCCAGAGACGGGGCCTCATCACCTGTATTCCCTGCCCCGACCCTGGGGGGACCCTGCAGACCTCTGTGAGAAGCTTCTGGAAAGAACCAGCATGCCCACCAGGCAAAGCAGGCTGGCAGAGAGGGGCCCCGCGCTCCTCGGGCCGAGCTCGCCTCCCAAGCCCAGGCCAGCCCCGCCCCCACTCAAAGCCACCTGCCTCTTCCTAGTGTCCACATTGGGCCACTTATTAGTTTAAGAGAGTCTGGGAGGCAGGAGAGCAAAGGTCATCGGCTCCCCCT